CATTCCAGGCTTTCAGTTCTGTGTCTATCGCTTTGTCTATCAATTTCAACAATCAGCCTACGGAGTGGATGCGGAGTGGAAATCTTGGGCGTGATGAGCAGCCGAACAATATAAGGGTGCGCATGGAGTCAAATATCATGGACGCAATGCCACATGGATTGCATTTTGCCAAAAGGAACCAAAAACATTCTAATGGTGCTAAGATGAAGATTTTGCACTCATACATTTTATTGCTTCATCTGAGAGTGCCTAATGAGTTGATTTTGCAGTATTTTTCATAATTCTTTTCTGACATGGGGAATTGTAGGAAAATTGATTTAAAAGTGAGATAATTTACCGCCTTGTGACGTTATGAGGCGGAATTTTTCATTTAAACACGTGTATTTTATCAAATTAGGTTATTTTATCGTATTTTCTCCAATAAATGTCCAATTTAAAGACCAAGGATATCTCCGTGCTCAGTTTTCCTAGTAATCATTTTAAATATGAAATTCACAAAATTTCAGACACCTGCAAATACTCTATTGTGCAGTTTTTTTTAACTTAGCAAGTATAAACTGATCATTTAAAAATTGTTTATCTGTCCTCTCAATAAACTATAAAGTGAAGACGAAAATTACCCCTACAAATTTTATTTGTTGTTTGTTGTGCACCGAAAAAAATAATATGCTGTTTTAGCATCAAGGATGTCAAAAATGTGTCTGGTGATCCCAAGATGCTGCCTTTACTGCCCCCGCAGTTGAATTTGCATTCACAGGATGTAAAATTAACTGCGGGGGCAGTAAAGGCAGCATCTTGGGATCACCAGACACATTTTTGACATCCTTGATGCTAAAACAGCATATTATTTTTTTCGGTGTGTTGTTCAATAATTTTATTACAAAGAATGTATAAGTTGCACAATCCTAGCATCATTGGGATGCTCTTAGTTCCTTTTTGCGAGTTGCGATCCATATTATCCTCCGAGTGCTCTCTCTTACTTTGCGAGCCAGATCGAGGCTAGAGTACCTGTATAGCGAGAGTATGGACGGATCGCTGATCGCTTCATGGAGGTCTTTAGGGCCTTAAGTGCAGCCATCCCTTTAACCAACTTCTACCACATAAAATTTCACTGTCAATCTGCAGAGTCTGCAAATTCCAATACTAACCTAGATGGCCAAGAATGTACAGAAATGAGCGCTCTTCCGCAAAAATGAGTAAATTTATGCAAAAACTGAGTCAAATACGTGCTTTATAAACGACGGTTCGTAACAATAGTATTAGTAAATCGTTCTGGATAGTTGAAATTTACAGATTGGCTGCATTTCTGGGCCCTAACTTTATTCGCAGAAGCATCGGTGAAGGCTTGATGGATTGTCGCAGTTTCACATCTGTCCATACTCTCGCTATACAGGTACTGTAGTCGAGGCGTGGGCGAAAAAAAGGGATTTCGCGGGGCGGGTGGCAACGCGGACAAAAATTGCGAGTAAACACGGACTTTCTAAGGCGGGACAGGGAACTTTCATCGGGTCGACGGCGAAGTCACAGACCGTTATCCGCGATTAAGGAGGATAAGAGCGACTGTGACTGTCCACTTATTCCTCGTGCGCTACCGGTCACGGGAGCATTCGCCGGATGGCGGAAACCCTCCCAGTGGTAATTAGCCCGAGCAACAGTTAACGTCACTTTCCGCCAATCCCGTGCCTAGCAAATCACTCCCTCCTCCCGCGGCCTCCAAGGAAAAATCCTGCAGCAAAAAAGGGCAGTGTACCACTGCCGTGCTAGGAAAGACGCCGTATGAGCCTTCAGGTGTTGCTAAATTTCCTGAGATAAAACAGGAATTTCCTGCTAAACTCATGATTATTTTCCCTCCAATTTTTCAGATAATTTTATTCGCAATTTCACCTAGATTCTCTGAAAATTTCAAGGAAAAATATTCACAACTTCCTCAAAAAAAAAAAAAAAAATTATCGAAGGAAATTTGGCAACTGTCGAATGTTCATGAAGCGTTTTTCCTTAGCACGGCAGACCACTACTCTGATCAAAATATTTGTATGGATCGTATTCGATGGTGGTTTCATGTGTCGTTTGGCTCAAACAAATAGAACATAACCCCAAACAAAAAATTTAAGATTTAAGTCGAAAAAGCTGAAAATGAGAAAATTCCTAACAATTTCACTTCTCATTGTCATTTTTTCTCAAACTAATTAAAAATGTATCACACAAAACCCGTCCCCTCAGATTTTTGAAGCTACGTTTACATGTTGAACCAATCAGTATTGATAACAACGAAATTAATATTATAAAAATATAATTAATATATAAAACTCTAATAATAAATTCAAGTTTTTTGTCTAACTTGTGTTCTAGCTTTAAAAGTTCAATCCGTGATATAGAATAAAACAAACTACTGCGCTTCTAAATAAGGACAATATAATGGAAATCGGACGTTTTCGCACCAAGTGATTCCATTGTCATCGATTAATAATAATCACCAACACTGTTAGAGTCGCCGTCGGCTCGTTCAATGGCGCTTAATATAGTTGCAAAACTTTGTACACATCGAAGTGGAAGACTCGTAATTGCCCATAGGTTACCGCATTGTGCGTCTAGTGGGAGAAACCAATCAACGACTCTTCTACGCTACTAATTTAAGCAGAGCCCGCACTAATTAGCAAATCACTTTGCTCTGTAGACTGTGTTTATTTACTCCCCTGCTTCCGGCTTCCCGATTACAGGCGTCGGCAGGAAGCGCGCTCTTGCACAATAGTGCAATAAATCGCGTTTCTGGGTAATGATAACTCTTTCATTGTTATGAGATTTGTCAAAAATAAAGAGGCACAATCAGTGCTTTTTTAAATTTATCGACGGTGTAAGTCGGCTGTCACATAACTTGGTTTGCGACTTCGCAGACTTCCTATCATACTTTATTTTTTAAAAAAATTTGAATTTTCATTTTTATAATATTAAATTATAATTATAATTATTATTAATTTTGAATTATAATTTTTAATTGCCGGTCAATAATGCGGGTGTGATCCCTGCGAAACGTCCCGGATTTCTTATTTTATTTTATTGTGTTTCTTTTTATTACTTGCGGCCTTAGTCCCGTTTTAAGTTGTTTCTCTTTATTTTTTAAACGAAAAACTACTCAACGGCAATTCTTTAAAACTGCCGTGATTTTTCTTCTCTGTGCGGAGAAAATTCTGCAAAAACTTCAAGAAATGATGACAATTTGTTCTCCTTTAAAAAAAAGAACATAGAGGCGGAGATTTTCAGATACCACAAACAAGTTATGTGATTGCCGACTTACACCGTCGATATGTGTGATCGTCCATGGACAAAGAGGACTCAGTCTAAGAGAGCAACGCTTTCAGTAGAGCGATTTTTGTCACGATGGGTCAAACTGTCGGATTTTGAGCTTTTTACGGAATACTCTATGTGACAATAGACGTAGTAACGTTGCGTTATAATCTGATAAATCAGTGCTCTCCGCTCTGTCAAAAATCTCCGTGTTTTTACATTACCTGCATCCACCTATACTGCCGTGCTAAGGAAGAAAAACGTATGAATATTCAAGTGTTGCCAATTTCCTTCGATAAAATGTTTATTTTTTAGGAAAGTTATGAATATTTTTCTTTGAAATTTTCAGGAACTTTGGAACAAAATACGAACAAAAGTCTCTGAAAATTTGAAAGAAAAATATTCATAAGTTTGCCAAAAACTTCGTGTTTTATTAAAAGAAATTTGGCAACGCCTGAAGGTTCACACGGCGTTTTTCCTTAGTACGGCAGTATAACACTGGGGATCGTTGCTTTGTGAACGAAAGAACGTAACTTCATTTCAACGTTGTAAAATTTCCACTTGAAAATCGTGTTTTTTGCTGCTGTGTTAGACTGTTAGCCTATCAAAGATCAGCGGTATGACGCGAGCTTGAAAGGTAATCGATGCGTCCTAGACACATCATGGATCAGATTTTGAAATTGTCAAGGAATTTTGTGCGAACTCGTTGAGAAATTGAAAACTTTGTGCTACTTTGAGAGCTGTATTTTGATCGTGTGATACGGGCTTATGAACAGAAGTTTTTCTTGCCTGTGCGAGACATTTCCACGGTGAAACTACCAGACCACATATCTCGGTTTGCGACATCATAGACTTCCTGTCATGCTTTATTATTTAAGTGGAAAACTACTCAACGTCAATTCTTGAAAACTTTCGCGTTTTTTCCTCTTCATGTGAAGAGACTTTCTGACTTCTCATGTGCTCATTTTTTCATAAAGTTTCACGGTGATCCATCGGATTAATTTCCACCATTTTCCAATTGTTATTCGGTAATAATCTCCATACCGACGCGTAGTGGATCGAGTCAATAGGAAAGATCGGACAAGATTTTGAAACTTTAAACGCTTATGACTCCGTGTATACAAAACTTTGAGGTTCTAAAAGTGGATCCATTGGTTTCCTCATAAAATTTCCCATGAAGGCACCCCTTGAAATGTATAATGTGACGAAATAAACACCAAAATTTGCAGTTTTAGTCAAACATTTCATGTCCGATCTCTCTACTTGACTCGATCCACTTGTGCGACGGTGAAACATTGCAGACTTCCTGCCATACTTCATCTGTTTATTGGAAAACTACTCATCGTCAATTGGAAGTATTTATGCTAAAAGGAACTACGTTCAAGCGGAAAGATGGCGTGTGCTCGTTCAAGCTGCATTAGAAACAATGTAAAAGTGGATATAGTCCATTTTGGGAAAATGAAAAAACGGGATATGACATTAAATCAAAAGGAGCTGAGCGCTGACTCGTGAGCCGTAGACATATGACAAGAGAATTGTGGACAGGGCTCATGAGTTAATCGCCGCGACGTATTTTCCAGTGTAGATACTTGGTCTGGTAGATTCACCGTGGATTCGATTGCTCGAGTCGCATTTTTGCAACCTCGGAGCGGAATTAGGTTCCCTCGTCTGGAAAACAAGGTTGTGTAAAAGCGAGAAAGCCCGCATGTTTTCCTTACTTTTCAAAAGTGAGCCAGAATCAGAGAGCACATGTTGCGGACGAGGAGCACTGCCAATCGACGGGAGAACCCATCTCCTCCAATTGTTTTCTTCTTGAGACGCGACGCCCGCGGGACACTCGGTGCTTGACCATCCGTCGTCGGAGTTCAAGTCCTCTGCTCCGCCCGCGCTCAACTTCAGCTCCCCGCGCTGGAACAAAACAAACGACGAGTCAGTGGACTGCGAAAGCGACAAATTGCACTCCAGTCCCTTCCAATTTGCTCCCGAGCTGAAAATTAAGCTATTACTTTCACGGGGACCGATCGCGCTGTTTGATATATCGTCGCTCCTCTCGCCCAACGGCGTATCTCAATTTTCGTGTGAGCCCTCTTCTTCGTGTATTTCCGTGCTTTCGGGGGCCCTTGTGGAAAGAGAGCTATGCCTTTGAGTCGGAGAAGTGACCATATCCATGGCTTTTGTCGGATAGTGCGTTGCGCTTATTGCGATGTAGCATCTTCAGTTCTAGTGATTTCTAGACTTTTTGAAATTTATGATGGACCACTAGACAAGGTACGAATTTAAGCGATCTGATACACGTTTCTTAACCAGAATTTCTCGTATAACACGATTAGCGCAAAGAATATTACTGAAACTAACTCCTAACAAAGATATTTACGTTTTTATTTCACATTGGTCACGAGGAATTTGAACTGCCTGCTCACAAGAAACTTAAAGCTCTACGTGAGTCAATTCGTGCACTACAACGGTTTCAGCAAGCTTCTCAATCCAGCAATGTTCATTGCCCACCATGTGTTGTTTAAACTATAAGTAATTTGCTATAGCTTAACCAACGCGTCAAAATTGAGGTTGCTAGATTTTTATATCGCAGAGACTGTCATGATAACGTTTAGCGCGCGATGTGAATCACGTAGAGCATTGGGTTTTCATGAGCGGGTGGTTTGAATTTACGCATCAAGAATGATTAATTATCTTCGTAAGGAGTTCATATTGGTAAATTTTCGTTGTGTGCATCGTGTTCTACGTAAAATTTTGGTTCAGAATCATGTATCAGAATGCTGAAATTCGTACCTTGTCTGGTGGTCCATTCCACAGGTTTGTTTTAAACTTTGTTATTAATAGAGATACGACTCAAAATTCATTTCTTAAGAGCACAGTGTAACAGCCTTTATCATGAGCAGCGCAAAAGCGTCTCCAAAAAAATCCCCTAATAATTCTCCCCTAAAATAAATAGATCGTCCCCTAATGATTTTCCGCGGACGACGGAATCATAGGAATCGACTTTCCCCAATTTAAGATGATTTTAATTATTTTTTTGTTTTGCTTTCGGAATGAACCCTATTGCGGCAGCGAGCCTGACTCCCGGAGACTTCTTATCGATCGTTAAACTTTTCTCATTAAGAATCTTAATCCGGGTATTATGAATTCGCACTTCTGCATTTTTGAGTAATATCTTCGCTGCGTGAATGGAATTTGTCGCTTAGAAATTCTGTGTTGATTTCATTATTATCATTCCGTGCACGAATGTAACAGTCGGTTTTTGGTCATTTTGCTGTCATAAATTATCCCTCTTTTTTGTCGCTTCCGCGGTAGTGGGCATACTAAAGTGGGTATTACCAGTGTAGTTATTCCGCTTATTTCATACAAATTATGATCCATTAAATGTTTATGAGAAAATTCTACCAACCACTCTATTCGTCGTTTCTTAGACGAAAGACGTAACTCCATTCCAACGTTGCAAAACTGACTCGAACAATTCAGTTTTTCACAAAAATGTATATCTGTGCTATTTTTTTCCAACATTTTCCTGATTTTTGCATGGTATCAGAAGAAAAATCAGCGAAACTTTTAGTTAAAAATTTTTAGTAAAAAAGGTTCTCTTTTTAAAAATGCAATTTGCGAGGAGTTTGGCACCTTGAAATGCAGTTACGTTCCTTCGTGGGGAGAACGACGTGTTTTTCCTCCAAATATTTAGCTTTGATTCTGCTTTGGAATTATTGACCATTCAACGAGTCGACAAACTCAGTAGAAAATCAACAATTTCAAATTGAAATAAGTTTCATTTTAACAAAACTCAGTAGAAAATGAAAGGAGATAGCGATTTGACTGCCGTAGTACATCCTCTCCATCATTTTCCCGCCATTCCGGCTCGTTTGAAATTCCCTCGAGTCTTCGGACTTTTTTAAAAGCGGGCCTGTCTGAGATTTTGTCTCGAAAACTACCCAATGAATCACCACCCAATCCACTCACCTAGTCACTTCAGAATATTAAATGAAAACAAAATTTTCCATGCGTTAGGCATGCAACTGCAAGATTTTTTCAAAGCCCGATAGAAAAGTAGGGAGGTAACTTTAGGGATTTTTCACAATCCTTTGGAAACAATGCTTCCGTGCTAAGGAAGAACGCCGTATGAACATTCGAGAGTTGCCAAATTTCCCTCTATTAAATATGTGTTTCTGACAACATTTATGCATCTTATATTATCCTAAAATTTTCAGATATTTTAGATTAAAGTACGCACAAAAATGTCTGAAAATTTTGGAAAATAATATTCACAATTTTCCTGGTAATTTCGGTTTTTATCGGTAGAAACTTGGCAACACCTAAAAGCTCATACGGCGTTCTTTCTTAACACGGCAGAATGCTTGTCTGCTGTCCCTTCTACACTAATCGTAAATTCTTGGGGCTCTTTTTGCAGTGGTATAATCGTCCGCGTGACGGAAAATGGCTCGGCCGCATTCTGGGGATGATAATCTCGGAACAACCAGAAATTCCGTTTAAATCTGAAATTAAAATCAAATAACAACCCCGGAAATTACCCCCGTGCTAAATCACACGCAACAAGCAAACTCATGGTGAATGAGCAGCAATCCGAGCATTGACTCGCAGACCGAGATGCCAAATCATGCCGAAAATTTCATATTTTACACTGAATTACACAGGGAAAAATTGCTTCCTACGGCGTAATGAGGCACCCATGTTTGTGAAGCACGCAAACAGCAAGACGGAAGAGCACGGATAATTCCTGCCGTCAGTAATAATCACAACAAAACTGCCACTCGGTCAGCCCCTTGTGGGACTAATTGCATTACATCGCGATTGCAATTGCATCGGGTGCACGCGAGTCTCGAACTGTGATTTACCATCGGTATCGCTCCGCTACCCGCGTCACTAATGTGTAACAGAGAAAGTATAGAAAATAATTAAGACTCGCGGGGTTTTAGTCTGGAACGACACTGAAAAAAAATCTCTGTGTATTTACTAAGAAAAGGGTAAAATTACCAATTTCTTAGCACGACAGCAGTGTTACCCAGTGTAACACACTGCACTGAAAAAAAATCTCGTTGTATTTACGAAGAAAAGGGTAAAATTACCAAGAATTCAGGGTTCTATTCGATCCCAGTTTTTTCTTGGTAAAATTACCATTTATGGAATTGGTAATTTTACCAAGAAATCTCGGTAAAGTTTTTTACTTTCTCGGTAATTTTACTGGACCCCGGTAAAAACGCCAATATTTTTTATCGACTGTGGTAGAATTACCGAGATCAAATGGCAAAGTTACCGGGAATTGATTACCAAGAAAACTGGTATTCTTACCTGAAAAAAAACAGTAATAATACCGGTTTTTAGGTAAGCTTACCATCTGTCTTGGTAAAATTACCAACAATTGGTAAAAAAAGTGAGATGGCAAAGGTACCAACGGACTTTGATAAAAACGCCGAGAATTTTTTTTCTGTGGACGTTTCATGTGCGGGAATTTTTTTGTTTTTTTATGCACCCGGAGATGGATAGATTGAGTAAAATTGTGCTCATCCATTTAGGGCAGAAAGCTTCTTGTCTAGAGAGGTCTCAAGAGGTCTTATTGTGAACATGACTGAAAAGATTTAAGGAAATCCTTGACAGAGCATAATATCAGAATTTCAAGGAAAAATATTCATAAATCTCTTTAAAAATAGCAATTTTATCGAAGGAAATTTTGCAACTCCCGAATGTTCATACGGCGTTTTTTCCTTAGCACGGCAGTTTAGTGTTCCACTGTTGGGTCTTTTACGTGAGTCTCTGTAATTGTACCACCCTTCCTTTCCTGCTTGAGTGACTTTTCACCTACGGAACAACTTTTTTCCCCCTTAAGATTTGGTTGAAATAGGGCCCGGTTGGTGGTCAGTGAGTCGACGATGCTCGAGAATCGGAACGATATCGATAAAGTTTTGGTGGGTAATGTCAATGTCACACTACTTGACGAGATGTTCAATATCCGGTTGCCACGTGATTAAGTCTGCACCGCCCTTGGCGCCATGCCTACACAGTCTCCATATATATTGGTATCCGTTAGAGCTACGATATTTCAACCCCAAAATCACTTACCTACACTGCCGTGCTAAGAAAAAGCGCTGGATATACATTCGAGAGTTGCCAAATTTCCCTTGATAAAGAATGTATTTTCGACAACATTTATGCATATCATTCCTTGAAATTTCTAGGTATTTCAGGTTAAATTGCGTGCAAAATCGTCTGAAAGACGTAGTATAAACATTCGAAAGTTGCCTGATACTCTTGGATAAAACTGCACGGAGGAAAATGAGATCAACTTAGCTTTAGCCTCCACCGAATATGGTGGAGTATAGGAAAACATGTCGCCTATTACAGAAAAAATGTGCGAGAGTAGAGAAGGAATGTGCGAACTTACAGGAAGAATGTGCGAAAGTACAAGAAGATTGTGCGAAAGTACAAGAAGAATGTGCGAAAGTACAAGAAGAATGTGCGAAAGTACAAGAAGAATGCACCGGGGACAGTCACTGCCAGTGCCCAAGTGCGGATTGGTAGGGTAGGGCAAAATCATCATCCACCGTATGTGCTGAGGTTTAGATTCTGGTGCTCAACGCTTTCTTTTTTTCTCGGTGATGTATTTTAAAGAGAGGTAATGCATATTTTGCCTTGAAATTTTTAGATATTTTAGATTGCATTGAGACCAAAAGTGCCTGAAAAGTTTGCTGAAAAATATTCACAGTTTTCCCCGTGAATTCTTTTATTATTGAAAGAAATATGGTAACGTCAGAAAGCTCGTACGCCGTTCCTCCTTGAGACGGTTGCAAGTTAAAACAAAAATGAACGTAATTCTGCCAAAAGAAACTATGTGCATTAGGACGTGAGCCCTGGTATGCATGCATATATATTCTATGGGTCCCAGGGCT